GGGTGGCTTAGATTGGCAGCTGGCATGCATTCATGTCCAGTCCAAGAAGTTGAGATTTACAAAGGGTTCTGATCAGCCATTCACTGGTCTCTAGAACGCTTCATAATAATAGACCAGGAGAAAATATCCAAGTAGGACACAGGAAGAAATGAAACCAGAGGCCAGTTAAGCTGAAAATTCACAGATACCCCTCTATTTTCCAGTGGAAGGAATAACAAAGAAAGGAAGACATTTCCTTCACATTTTTGATGGAATTAAAAGGCTATTAACTTTATATTATCACATCTATAATTTGATGTGAAACACAGTTCTTCAACCAGATTATAAAAGTCCTGTCACACTACTTACACACACTTCCCCTTATAGAATATCTTTATCACATAAAGGTAATGTGATCAATATAAAACTTTTAAAATCCTAATCAGAAAAATTTCAACAGCACATTAAAATATGATATGTCATGAGCAAGTTGGTTTCATTCCAAAGCTACCTTTAGATAAATTAAAAAGAAAATAAGGTAATACGGTCTATAAATAGACTCAGGGACAGAAATCCAAGTTGTCAGTACAAAGGCAGAAAAGGTCTTTGCAAAATCCAAACACCTTCATTTTAAAAGCCCTGCAGAAACTCAGCCTAGAAGAACACACCTAAATACAATAAAAGCTCTGCATGATAAACCTATAGGTAACATTATAACTGCAAATTAAACTGAAAATCATTTTCTCTAAAATCAGGAATGAGTCAGGGTAGTCACACTGTATACTAATTCAATGTCATACTAGAAGTCCTAGCAAGATCAATAAAATAAGAGCAAAATAATTAAAGGGATACAGACAAGAAAGCAGGAAGTCAAATCACCCCCATTTACAGACAATGGTCTTTGGGCTTAAAGACCCTAAAGCAGAAATTCTCAACCTGTGGGTCACACGCATCAGAAAAACCTATTTCCAATGGTCTTAGGGACCCCCATCCATAAATGTATTTTCATTGCTACTTCATAACTGTAATTGTTACTGAGCAGTGTCTCAGTTCCTAAGGCCATCGGAAATATGTGTGTTTTCTGATGGTTGCAACCCCCAGGCTGAGAACTGCTGCCCTAAAGACTCTCCCAGAAAACTCTCAGATCTAACATGTTCAGAAAAGCAGCAGGACACAAAATCAAAATACAAAAATCAGTACCTTTTCTATTCCTCAATAACGAACAAACCATAAAATAAGTCAGGAAAACAATCCTGTACACAATAGCTTCAATAAACAAAATACCTACAAATAAGTCTAAAGGAAAGAATTTAACTAAAATCTAATGTTAACACTGAAGAAAGAAGCTGAAGATGATTAAGCTATCCCCTGGGTCCAGAGAAGCATGATTCATATTCAAAAAATGGATTTACCATGGAAAGCAACCTATTAAAAAAAAACCCTATCAATATTCCAATGACATTCTTCACACAAACAGGAAAAATAAAGTCTTAAAAAATAAATTAAAAAAAAAGTTCTAAAGTTCACATGTAAACACAAAAGATCCCAAATAGTCAAAGCAACCCGGCACAAAGAGTGAGGCTGGAGATGCCTCAACACCATAGGAAAATGGCGCACAACCAGACATCTAGAATGGGAGGAGAAGGACCCAAAAGTAAACTCAGACAACTATATCCATCTCAACTGTTTGTTTCGAAACAGGGTTTCTTTGTGTGGCCTTGGCTGTCCTAGAACTAACTCCATAGACCAGGCTGGCCTCAAACTCACAGAGATCCCAAGTGCTAGGATTAAAGACATGTGCCACCACTGCCCGACACAGCCACCTCATTTTTAACCAAGAATATACCTTGGAGAAAAGACAAGACAAGCTGTTTCTGGTCTGTTTTGGTTTTAGCTTTTGGACAGCAAAGGAAACGACATAATGAGGAGATAGCATATACAACAGGGGAGAAAAACCTTCGCCAGACACTTACTAGGGGATTAATATCCACAATATATGAAGAACTTAAAGATTAAACATAAACCAAACAAATAACCCAATTAGTAAGTGGCCAAGTGAACTACACAGACGGTGCTTCAGATAAGCATAAGTAAGCAACAACATATGCTCAATATCCTTAGCCATCGTAGAAACGTGTATCAATAGTCACTGCAGGCCAATGAGATGGCTCAGCGGGTAAAGGTGCTGGCCACCAAGCCTGATGTCGTCTCTTCTATCCCCCCTAAACCCACACAGTGGAAGGAGAGAAGGAACTCCAAGTTTTCCTGACCGCCACATTGTTGCTCATGGCAACACACATTGACATACACGCTTATACACCAAAACTAAATAAATGGAAAAATATTAAAATTACTTGTAATTAGGGTCAGAATAGCCACCCTGAAAACAAAGGCTGGAAAGGATGAGAGAGGAGAGGGAAGCCATCCTTACACACTGCAGCTGAGAACGTAACCGGTCCAGCCACTATGGAAGTCAGCACGGAGGGTCTACTGAAGAAAACAGGTATGTTAGCGGATTGGTCGTGCCTATCTTGAATCTCAACAGCGGCCATCAACTGCCTCACTCTCAAGAGATCTGGCCTATTTACAGTCCTTGTGGAGGAAGAAAGAACCTCACAAGATCCTCATGTGGTCCAGCAACTCCCAAGGTTATAGAAGCAGAAAACAATTGCTTGGTATGTGTGTAGGGGAGGGGGGGGCTGGGGGGGCAGCGGAGATTGGATACTTGTCAGTCATGAAGGTGCCCAGGGGACTCAGTGGTGCAGTTATCACTGCAAGCTACCCAAGCTGTGGGAAGAACTCTTCTCTGCTGCAGCTTCCCCTTAGTAGCCCAGGTTCCTGGTGATATGACCCGTTCTTTATAACTAACTTGGGTATACCCACTCATTCACCATTGACCAATTGGTCACCATTGACCATTGGTCTGTCAGTAGTGCCCTCCCAGTCTGGGGTGAATAGCCTTTTTCTTCATATTATCCCAGGAAAAGTCAAGTGACAACTACCAGCTCATTGAAGTTCAGCACTCTGAGACTTCTAGATACATACACAGAGAATTCTAAGTCAGCATCTCATAGAGATTCTTGCATACCTACATGCATTCATATGCATTTATGTAAATGTATATATATGCATATATATGCATGAAAATACAAATGTAGCTGGACGTGGTGGCACATGCCTTCAACCCCTACACTCAAGAGGTGGGCAGATCTCTGGGAATTGGAGGCCAGCCTGGTCTACAGAGGGAGTTCCAGGACAGTCAAGGCTACAGAGATACCCTGTCTTGAAAAACCCAAAAGGAAAAGAAAAGAAAATACAAATGTTAATGACCACAAAAGTAAAAATGGCCCTATTTTGGGGGCAAACAGGGAGAAAGCGTCGTTGAGAAAGGGGGAGATATCACAAAAGTACATGATACATACCCAAGAAACCATCAGAACGAAACCCATTATTCTGTGCAATGAATATACACTAATGAATGCAATTACTTTAATTATTAGAGAAATTTGCCCCTATTATTTTTTTTTATTAATTGAAGACGGGGTCTCTCTGTGTACCTCTGGCTGTGCTGGAACTCGCTCTGTAGACCAGGCTGGCCTGGAACTCACAGAGATCCACCTGCCTCTGCCCCCTGAGTGCTGGGATTAAAGGCATTCACCACTACTGCCAGGCCAACTATTAACTTTTTATCACATCCTTCCTTATTGTTCGATATGCAACTGTGTACATGTGAACGCATGACGAGATTAGTGGGTTTTTCTTTCCTGCCTGGGGAACCGAACCACCACCTTCTGCATGTTAGGCGAAACAGAACCACTGAGTGCTAGTCCAGCACTTCGTGTACTTTCACTTTGAAGTAGTGTCTTACTAAGTTGCCCAGGCAGGCCTTGAACTGACAATCCTCCTGCCTCAGTCCTGTGGCAGCAGGCTCAGCTCCTCTGTCGGATTTTGTCACATGACTCACAAACACTATTTTGTAAATAAGTACTGGATCATTTGTGTTCTCTTCTCATATGTTCTTGGCGAGTATTCCTGTGGTTTACTGTTAAAAATAGACCTGGGAAGCCCATGGGGACATCTATACCAGCACCGAGGTATAGATAGGTATAGACAGGCGGGTCAGTATCAAGTTCACCTGTATCAAGTTAGACAAAGGGACTGTCTCGTTAAGCAGCAGTCCTTAGGAATACCTCCTAGGTTAATACCAAAACAGAAAGGGAGGCAGGGCTGGAATCCTTTCCTAGATAATCGACTAGCTGCCCAAGGGAGAAAACCCTTTATGGGCCACCTTCACTAGTTGCTCCTAATATAAATGGCAATGACTACTAACATCATGTGTGTCCACAATATAATTATAAAGGGTTTTTTAATACATGTAAGAAGATTTAGTCAAGTTAAAAAGCATGATGAATCGTTCTCTTAAATGCAGAAAAAACATTCTAGCACAGATATAAACTTTCACACTATGGACACGAGGGAGGGGGTGGAGACAGGGCGGCATTTATCTACGGTCCTAACTAAATGAACACATGCACAAGCTGATCTGGGTGCTTTTTGTTTGTTTAAACCGACAGAGAGCCAAGTGTATATACTTTGGATAAATGTAAGTAGACGGTCACATTCATCTAATTAGCAAGCGTCTGTCTTTCAGAGAGGTAGGAGCACCGCAGGAGTTAAGATTTTAGCTCTGAGCTCTGACCTCTTGGCTTTCTCTTTTACATTGGTTCTGTGTTTCTTATTTAATAAGACGGTTGGTTACATCTACAGATAGCTGTCGCATTTGTGGTGCAGGCACATACAATCCACTTTTCCAGAACACACCGCATTTCACCAGCTGTCCTGTACACTGGATCTCTCCACAGCTTACTCTTCCCAACTGCAGTTAGCTCCCTTTCCGAATTTGAACACGATCAGCCATCGCTGGAAATGGGACTCCACATCAATACCCTGCCCCAACCCTGCTCTCCACCACGTTTCACTTCCACCCTATGCACCAATTCACTACAAACAGGTATTATGCTGCATGACGTGCCAAGGAGTTATAGACCAAAGCTATCACTGTTTATTGGTATTCACCATCCGGGAAGAGAAGACTGGCATCAGCCCTACTTTTAAACTCTAGAGAAAACAGTTTAATAGAAAAAGACCTAAAATACATCTCTATAGACAGTATTAGAAGGAGCTGCCCCACATCCAATGCCTCATTCACAGCCAACACCACCAGTAGTTCATTTTAATCAGCTCTCTAGCACCAGTTTTAAATTAAACACACTGTTCTCCCACACACATCTCACTGCCTTATAGACTCTGCCAAATGGTAACATTTAAACTTGTTTACTTTCTTTCAAGGGGTTTAGATTTATACACTGTTGCACTAAAAAATACTCCTCGGCATAGAATCAGCACCCAGCACACTCACCCAGGACTTTCCAAATAGGTTCTGCAAATTCAACTCCTTCCCCATTGACCGAGTGTCCCAATGTATTTTCCTGACCATTGGAACCAAGACGCTGTTAGCCTCGGGTTGGAGGGGCTCACAAAATGTAACCAGCAATCGTTTGTATCAAATGGAGCAGTATCATCCAATGAGCAGCCAGGGGCTTTGGACTGCCACTTGAGAAGGCTGAAAAAGGACACCAGGAGAGACAGTCACTAATTAATTCTTCTCCGCCCCATCAGCCCCAAATGTTTCAAACAGCAACAGAGCTGGGAACACAGTTTTGACATTGTTGAGATAATGACTTGATTTGCTCCCAAAATGCAGGGAAAGCTGCCGCGAGTCTATCTGGTGAGAACCGTTCGTACCCTGCTCTCAGGGCCAGAAGCAAGGCTGTTGGAAGTCGGAGAATACTTGCTGTTGCTTTCCAAGACTGGCGGTGGAGGGGAGCTGACTGGCGGTGAAGGGGCCACACACTAAGGGCCTTGTCAACCTCTCAGTGAATTATGGGCTGCTCTTGATTAGCCAAAGCAATGTTTCTGGGTTGCCAAAACAGAATTTGCTGACCCAGGTTATTAAAATGCAAATGTCCGACAAAGTGCCTGGAGGCAGGAACGCACACACACAGAGTATCTACATTGTGTACATGTGGGCTGTGGAAGGCTGCAGAAGCCTCAACAGTGAAGACCACCTACCTGGTGACCAGGAGACCCGAGGTTGGGAACACTGTGGCACAGGTCGGGGAGGCATGGAGACAACTGCCACAATCCGGAAAGACCTGGGCCACTGTTCTCAGGAATGCCTCCAGACTCACCTGCCTCACTCTCCTCATCTGTTCATTTGCTTGTTGGTTTTGAGACAGGGCTTCACTAGGTAGTCCCGGCTGTTCTGGAACTCATTCTGTAGACCAGGTTGGCCTCTGTAGAAACAGAGATCTGCCTGCCTCTGCCTCCTGAGTTCTGGGATTAAAGGCGAGCGCCGCCGCCGCCACCACCACCACCACCAGCTCACAGCCAAATCTTAAAAGATTTGTCCAAACGACCTTTTCATAAGGGCCATTTGGGGCAAGGTACCGTTGGGTGTTTAAGAGGGGCAGTTTGCAGAATGAACACGTGCACCCCGCTATGGTGACATACAGGAAAGAAAGTCCATCCAGGATATCCACTCCCCAAGCTATGCACCCAGAAACTGTGTCCATCCAAAGGGGCATATTCCCCCTGATCCGCACAAGGCTCCCTCTAGCCCAGAGGAAGTACTGTTTGCACAGTGCTCCTGACTCTCCATTTGAAACAAGCCAGGCAATCATCCAATTACTTACATGCTTCTTATTGCCAAACCCCGCAGAAATGACTCAATTCTCACTGCTCCTCAGAATCTGACACTAGCTACTCCTCCCTCTTGAAAATGCACCCACTAAGCTTGCTCTGCCCTCCTGGCCATCAGCTGCTGCCTCCTTTAAAGGCTGTTTCTTCGCCTTTGGCCTCAGCTTTCTCTCGTTCCACCATCCTAACCAGGTGATCATAGTTCCTCACAACTGCACTGTCATCTGTATAAAGACTTTCTCCTTTCCAGTCAGCAGTCCCTTTTTAACACCCCCAAAATCTGTCCATTAATGAGCTCACTGTCCCCCACCAGCGTCCCAGGATTTCTCTTACTGAGCAGTGGATTGATCTCTCAAGAACCCGAGCCAGCCCTGGCCTGGACTCTTCCCTTCACATTCTACCAACTCTCTAGTCTATTCACCTTCCTCCAGCCAAGCTTTAGGCTGGGCTAGCTTGCCACCCAACTGGGTATATTCCTGGGGCTCTGTTCTCAGACCTTTCTCACATACTTACACTGGAGACATTTTCTCCAACCTGCTACTTCCTGTCACATCACTCACCAAACGAAAAACCCATCAAGATGTCCCACCATCCTCCAGAAAAAGCCCAAGATTTGTCCCCACAGCATACCTCTATGATCTATACACACCCCATATCTTATGCACACCCAACCCTACTCTCCAGTGTGAAGTCTCAAACTGAGCTCCTTTTTCAGGGCATATGCCCCTGGCCACCTGGTGAGCTCCACCTTTCCCAGCATGTTTCTGCTCTGACTTTCTCCCTGAATTGTTCCTACTGGTAGGTGTACAGCGTCAAGCTTCTCCCATTAGAACACTGACTGACTTCTGGCCTATTTCCCAAGTACACAAACTCCATTTCTTTTAGCTATAAACTAGTCTCAACCTCACTTGTTCTACACACATTGGCTTGTCTCTCCATGAACTGCCAACCTCAAATCTGCTGTGACTCATTATTGCCAATAAACACAGAAAGTACCAAGACTACAGAACACCCTCACTATACGAGAGCCATAGCTGTATCTGAGCACACAAGACACAGGACTGCCCTCAAGAGATATACCAAGGCAGGTG